GGAGAAAGATTCACCAGACTAAGACTTCGATCCTAGGAGAAAATTTATCAGACTAGGTTTCTTATCTTAGGAGAAAGATTCATCAGACTAGGACTTCTATCCTAGGAGAAAGTTCATCAGACTAGGTCTTCTATCTTAAGAGAAAGATTCATCAGACTAAGATTTGATCCTAAGAGAAAGTTCATCAGACTAGGTTTGCAATCTTAGGAGAAAAATTCATCAGACTAAGACATTGATCCTAGGAGAAAATTCATCGGACTAGGTTTTCTATCTTAGGAGAAAAATTCATCAGACTAAGATTTTATTGGGAGAAAAATCTATCAGACTAGGACTTTTATCCTAGGAGGAAAAATGTGAAGAGCAATGACAACATTTTATGCACACTAGCAAGACAGGTAAGGGAAATGACTTGTGAAACTTCCCTTTGCCGACTCTTCTCTTCTTCTTATTTTTCCTTTATCTTTCTTTTCTTTTCTTTTTTTTCTTCTTGTTTTTGAACCAACTTGTTTGCAATGCTTTGTTCCTGTTTCAAACAAAGAAAACTTGTGAGTTTAAATGTGGTGGTTAGTTTGTGGCCTTGACCTTGAGAGTGGCTGCTTCTACACTTGCCAAGATAACTTTGATTTCAACTTGGACGACCTTGACTGTTATCGACTACCCATTTTCTTTCAACCCTTATCACAGAAAATACCTCCGCTCCATTCGATCTCAATATCCTCTATCTGTTGCATATTGCTCATGAATTGACATTTACCGAACCTTTGCATTTCACATGAATGCCAAAGCATGTTGATTGTTACCAACTCAGTGTGCATACTGTTCTTTCCTGACTTATGCCACTTTGATGTGCTAGCCAAATTCCGTTTGGTGTAACTAGAAAGTTGGTAGCAAATTTTGAAGTCATTTCTCACTTGTTCTGACCAAACAGACTCAAAAAGGGACTCAAACAAAACAAGAGGAACAAAATAAGGAGAAAAACGAGAAGAGATAGTATCTAACAAGAAAATATTTTTACCCAGGAAAAAGAACAAAGTAGAAACTTGAAGGCCATCTCCACTAACCATGACATGCATTTTGGGTTAAGCAGCCTGACCTGTCAAGCGAATCTAATCTTCAACTCTTGTTATGCCTCTAAGCTGTGAAATTGGCTTCAATACTCCAATTGTCCCATTTGATCCAAAATCCTCAGTCAACTTGTAGTGCTCTGAAGGGTTTTCACTATCAAGCCTTTCTTATTTTGCTCCGATAAGACTCTCTCATTTTATCATTTTCTCTCTTTATGTTGAGAACAAAGGTATTACCCATGATGCAGGAAGATACTTTTGCCACACACTTGATTTGACATCCTCAAAGATTGGTTGGAAGATCTTTCTTTGGACCGTAATGTAGGCTTTTGGACAGGGTTAGAAAGAAAGGGTGGCATGAAAGCTCAAAATAATTTAAGATGAAAGGATTCAAAATTACAACTTTTGGAATCAGATCTTTTGGCCAAATTAAAACTTCTACCCCAGTTTCTTGGAGTCTGGGATTTTTTTCTTAATTTTTGCTTTGATGAGATTTCTAAGAAAAACTGCCCCGCTCTTGACTTCGGAGATTATGAAATATTTTATTTGGTGTGAATAACCATAAGGCTGCCTACGTATCTTGAGGTGACAAGAATCAGGTCGAACGTAGTTCAAACACAAAGTTGGTTTTTTGTTGTTTTTCTTTTCCTTTTTTTTCTTTTTTTTTCTCTTTTTTCTCTTTTTATTTTCTTTTCTAGTTCCTAACTCTGCTTCTGATTCCAAAAGAGGGGTATGAAATAAAACAAATTAAGGCTCAAAAAGGGGTAGCAAAATAAAATACCTTCGTCATACCAAACTTTAAAAATGCCAAGTACAAACGTGCAATTGAAGATAAACAAAGAAACTATGCACAGTATCTATTGATGGCATCATCACAAACAGAAAGTGCCGACGGGCAATACCTTTGTCCTAATGAATGATCCTTGCCAGTTCAAAACAGACTTGACTCAACCTTATATTGATGTGGAAGAATGCATTTCAGCACTGACTGATTTTCCTCAAACTACTTGAGAGACATTTCCTTATTGTATGCTCTTATCAACCTCTTGATTTTCCAAACTAACTGCCTCAGTTTCACTCAATTCAAGTTTCAGGTTATCTCAGGATGCGTGAATCTTTACTTGTTTCCTCAAATGTCTCCTTTTATTATATTCAAAACCGTGTCATTACTTCATGATTGGACTAACTTTCAAGACCAGGCTGAGAATTATGCATGCATGTCATGTCACTAGAGCCAGCATGAAAAGAACTATAAAAGGAAAAGTGACCTAAACAAAAACTGACTAGGGCTAACAGAAAAAAAGAGATTGCATTAGATAGATGGTGAAAAGGGTTTAAACAAAACAAGCAAAATAGACATGGATTACAACCCTGGAACAATCCTAAATAACACTAGACGAGTTACTACAACTAAACGAACTAGACAAAATAAGAAGAAGAAAGGATTGAGCCACAAGACAATGTCTGAATTACAACCCCGGAATAACCTAGACAACAGAAATGACAACAAAATAAACCACCAAAACTCCTCCCTGGCTAGCCAAGAAAGGAGCGTCTTTCCAATTACCAAGCTCGATATCTTAGCCACTGGGTTGCACATCAAAATTACTGGGACCTTCACCAATTTCAATATCATTAACTTCAGTCAGCAAGTTTCCAAGAGGACTCTCATACTCCCTGCCACCATGTATCCTCCCCACAAAGTGTGCACCATCATGTGCTGGTAAAGAATTCTGTGCGATGTTCTGGGTGTCACTGTCCTGGATCACAATTATCCCTTCTTGAATCATTCTTTCTATTTCTCTTTTCAAATCCCGACAACTTTTGATATTGTGCCTCTAGGCATTGGAATGGTATTCACACCTTTTAGAAGGGTCAAAGCTTCTTGCACGCGGGTCCATATGGTTCAGAGGAATAGGTGCAATCAGGTCATAATACTTTAATTTCTCAAACAAGCTTGCATAGGACTCTCCTATCGGTGTAAAATTATCTTTCAACCTTTGTTTACCTCTATACCTCTAGCTTGGATGTGGGTTATGGGGTACCTAAAAAATTTGTGGAGGCTGGTGGAGGTTTTGCGGTGCTGGCGCTCGCCTTTTGGGGTGTCTCGACGGCTGGACAACATATTGGGGTGGAACAACAGAATATTGTGTGTTCTCAGGGGAATCGTCAAAAAACAAACGAGGCTGGTCATGCCTTTGAGATGTTCTTCTAGGACCTCTTCTCTACCTTGATGTCATCATGATTTCTTCAACCTTCTCACTCGTGCCAGTAAAATTACCAGATTCAATTTGGACAGCCTGAGTTGCAGCTTTGAGTATTACTTGACTTTTAATTTTGCCTGTCTTAAGGCCATTCTCTACCATTTCTCCCATTTTGATTGCTTTTGAGAATGATTTGCCAACTGCGGACATTATGTTTTAAAAGTAATCGGGCTCTTGATCCTGATGGAAGACAGTGATTAGCTCGTGTTCATCCATGGGTGGCTCAACTCTAGCCGCTTGCTCTCTCCATTTAATGGCATATTCCCTGAAACTTTCAATTGGTTTCTTCTTTAGGTTTGAAAGGGAATTGCGGTCTGGGGCAATGTTGATGTTATATTGGAACTGTTTGACAAGGCCTATGCCATGCCATCCCAGACATACCCTCAAGATGTGTCTTGACCCATAAACCAGTCAGAGGCTACACCCGTAAGGCTTTCCCCAAAATAAGCCATCAGTAATTCTTCATTTCCTCCCGCACCTCTTAGTTTATTGCAATACCTTTTCAGGTGGGCTATGGGGTCTCCATGTCCATCATACTTTTCAAATTTGGGAGTTTTGAAACCAAGTGGCAAACGAACATCGAGGAACATACATAGATCCTTGAAGGCAATACTCTTCTGACCTGCCAGCCCTTGCATGTTTTCAACTATTGTTCTAAGCTTTTCAGTCTCTGGGTTATTTCTTCCGATGCTATCTTTGGGCAAGACTTCTCAATCTTTGTAGGAAGATCAAATAGGTAAGAGTGATACTCAGGAGAGTGGTATTGTTCTTGCTAGGTAGCAAATTGTGACTCATGAGTTTTCTTCTGCATCACCGTCGGCTGTGGGATGGTGAAGACAGGCATAACTATAGTGGTTGTCTGATTGGTAGTCAATGACATACTTTGGGAGTGCGCAACAGAAGTTCCAGCTATAGTCGTACAATTAAGATAAATGCTGAACCTAAATGAATATAATTGATCAGACAATAAAACCGGAGTGATAGTAGTCGAGATGGGTGTAAACACTAGGAAAACATAAGAATGTGGTGGTCCTTGACCATTGGCCCATGCTTGACTCATTTCAGACATTTGTTGTTTCAGCCTTTGGACCCCCTCTTTCAATTCAGATTCCGACTCCACAATCTCCCTCGAGGGGTCGACAACTCCTGTATCCAAGTCTTTGCTAGCCATGACTTCCTTGCTTTTTGACCTTGTGTTGTATGGACAAATTACCAAAGTGACACAAACTAACCACCCTCTGTTATAATGAAAGTAACAAAGAGGAGCAAAACAAAGCCAACATGTTAGCGTTAGGATATTTATCAGATAGAAATATCACATTACGTGCAATGCCCCTAGCAACAATTAATGGTTATAGAATGACTTCGAGGGTCACAAGGTCATTTGGCATCATCCCAATTTTGTTCATTTCAACCTTCTCTTTTCTTTCTTTTCTAGCACTTCTTGGCTTGCTCATTTTTCTTCCTCTCTTTTTCTTTTTAATTTTCACTCTTTTCTTTCCTCTTATTTCTCACATCCACAATTTCATCTCTTTTTTTCTTTTCTTTTTTCTCTTTTTTTTAGTTTTAAAAAAAAAGTGATTCGATCGAACCCTATGTAGGTTGCCTATGTATCATGTCCCTCATGAATCAGATCAAACGTAGTTCTGAAAAAAGTAATGGACGAATAAACTAAAAATAAAATTCTTTTTGGATTTTTCATTTATATTTTTTTTTGGTTTTCAAATACATCATAGGAAGTACGATGACAAAAGTCTAAACAAACTCTTAAACCACCTAAAAGACTCAAAAACAGACACAAAATATAAAAAGTCTCCTCAAGTAGCTCCTGAATGCAGTGGTCCTAGGATATCAGTCATGCTCGAGTCCTGGTACATGGATCCACACCTGAATGAGAAAAATAAGACCAAATAGATCAGTGACTCAAGACACTATGCGACACTACAACACCTCCGATTGGACATATGCAAGGCATGATTGAGCTATTTTGCAAAATTAACCTATGTGGCCAAGGATGGCTATTAGTGCAAACTCAACAAAGGTGACCTCAAAGACATGGAAATACCTCATTAAGGATTATATGGATTCAACTCCCAATAATCATGGCCCAAAATCAATTTGCTGAAATGACCCATTTTGCAAAAATGACCAATATGGCCAGAAATGGCTAAAGATGCAAACTCAATAAGGACGTGCCTTAAAGTAATATGACTCCTAGTTGTGGACTCAAGATCCTAAGATATGGGTAATTGAGCCACTTTATGAAAATGACCCCATTTTGCAAGAATGGTGTGGCTAAATGTGGCTAGACATGCAAGATTTGGCTAAGACCTCGCAAAACCAAGAACCTAAGACTCACTAGGGAGACCGGACCCTATGTGGGCTGCCTATATATCCCGCCCCGAAAGACGAGAATCATGTATCCGTAGTTCGGGCAGATTGGATATGTGAGAAAGCTTTAAAAATGCAAGAAAAACCATATTTGTCTTTTTGAAAAATGATGAAAAATGCAAAATCTTTTTGGATTTTCTTTTTTTTTTTGAAAAATGATGGGAAAGTACAAAATCTTTTTGAATTTTTCATCTTTATTTTTTTTTGTCTTTTTGAAAAAGTGGTGAAAGAAAAATATAACTAGGCCTTACTTGCTTCATCTATATACCCTCAACCATTATTGGTCCACTAAATGACCTTTTTACCTTTACAAAATGCAGCATATCACACATAGGGATGATTAAATGTCGTTTTTGGGCCATAGGCCCGTTTTGACAAAATTTGGGTAGGCCTCCTAAAAAGGGACACAGTGCCTAGGACGGAGCCCTGCTAAGTGTGAATGACATGATAGAAATAAGCATGACCTAAAAGCTGACTTAAGTTTGAGGGTTCACTAGACAAGGCAATTCGGGGCGTCACGTGGTTGATGACGGCTGCTCTTTCTGTCCGCCTACTCCACGCTCCCACGCTACCCCCTAAAGACACGAGTGACTCACAAAAGGGCCGTGTACGCTCAAACGTACTCTGGAAGACTTGTTGCAGAAAGAAGACCTATGGTTATGCAAATGATGATAGTTATAAAGCAGTAAACACATAAGGAAACGCGATAAACAAATAACCAGCAAAACAGGAAATAAGCCAAAAGAACCAACTAAACAAAACAAATAAATAAAACAAACACCTCAATTGAATATCCAAAAAGCCAACAAGATCAAGTATCAGCTCGAACATGCAATTCCCCAGCAGAGTCGCCACAGCTGTCGCACCCCTTTTTTACCAACTTACTAACCCTCTTAATAATAAAAAGATTTGTAAAGCTTGAAAAGGGTTTTCCAATTAGAACGTAACAAAAATTGTGTTCAAAAGGACTTTTTAGAGTCGCCACCTGACATTTGATTTCGGTGTGCCAGGTCACCGTTTTTAAAAATGATTTTTCCTTTTTAAACACTTTGAACTCTAAAATTAAGTGTGCACCAAAGATTCAGGTAAAGGGGTTCATTTGACTCGGGGAGAAGGTGTTAGGCATTCCCCGAGCCCCGTAACTAGTACGGTTGCGTACATGATCAAGTTGGCTTTTAAAATATTCGAACTGAGGTAATAAACACAGAAAAAGGAAAGCAAACACAAGAGAGGCTCGAGGTCGTCCCCACCTAATAAAAGAAAATACAAAAGAAAAATAAGGTCCTAAATACTAATATATACCATACTTTTCCACGAAGTTTGTCATAGCCTCCAAATACATGATACCCCGGATAAAAATATATACATATTCTTCGGGGCATTCCCCGGATAAATTTAACTAAGGGAACGACCTATCACCTTAAAACTAACAAAAATCCTAAGGCTTGCCTACCCAAGTGTGGCCGGCCTAAAACATGCTCCTAGCGGTTCTTAATTAAATAAAATAGATTTAAAGGCAATGAAACCGCATCATGAGGCCATCAATTGTTCTTTGTCTTTTAATTAATTTGGTTCATTTCAATTAATTTAAAAGAATCACCTCAATGACCCGCTGAATCTTTCAACAGTGCACAATATCCATTTTTCATTTCAATTATCCACCTAATGACTCCAGTATTCATCCAAACTTATCATGGAATCGAGGTGATGAACTAACTAAACAAATAAGAGAACAACCGCAAACAATCAACACATATCATCAACTAACACATTGAGATGAAATAAAATGAGTATGAGAAATGGACCTTGATATTAAATCTGAAATTCGAATGCTAGGATGACTTTGTCATTCATAAGCGGATAAAATCGCGACCAAAATCGGTACCGAAAATGAAAAGGACAATGAAAACGGCGACTCTCAACCTCGAACGGTACCTCAACTGAACGGACTCAAATAGACTTCAATTTTGATCGAAATTAGTAATTGCGAAATTTACAGCAGCAAATACTGATATTGAAATTCAGAAAGAAGAGGATAACGAGAGGGAAGAAAAGGATGATCATGCCTCAACTTCTGAAATATGTAATCAAGGCCTGACTTCATAGATTTTAAGAGATGTGTATTTCTAGAGAAATTTGTCGAGATCTCTGTGAAACAATGTTCTAAATACTCATTGAAGTGCAAAAACACTGCATTCCTGTCCTGCAACCGTCCCAATATGAGGTTTTGCAATTGCTTCAGAGAATCCAAATCCTGAGCATTGATTAGGGTTTTGAAATCCTGAGAAATCTCTTCGGATGCAGATTTGATGGATTCTTTCTCTGTTTCCTCTATTCTCTGTGTGTGTGAGGGTGGTCATTTGGGGTGGTGTGAAGAAGAAAAAAATGAAGGGGTAAGGCCACTGGTGGTTGACGGTGAGTTGAAGGCGGCTAGAATTGGAGTTGGGAACGATTCAAGCCATGGCCGCTAGTTTGTGTGGTGCGGCTGGTTTGGAGAGTTTTGGTGCAGCTGGTCCGGCGGCTGTGAGGGTTCAGAGGTAATGAGGGGTCTGCCGCTGTTGGGAGTGGCTGGAGATGAGTGGTTGAAACAGAGGAGGTCCGGCGGGTTGGGGCTGCTGCGGCTGGATTTGGTTAAGGGGTCTTCTCTAGGGTTTTTTTTTAGGTTGTAATTAGGTAAATATATGTGGGTGGGGATTAGTTTTGACCATTGGATGAAAGGGAGTGAATGAATAGGACTAAATTAAAAAGAGCTGATGGGTTAAAGGATCTTGGGCTTCATATTTGGATCTTAAAATTGGACTAAAAGAAAAATGTCCAAATCTTAGTTAAATACCTTTTAATATAAGCTAAATATACTACATATTGCAAAAATCTATCTAATTAATTAAACTAAATTATATATAAAATATGAAACTATTTTTTATATCTTTCAAATGTCAAACTAAAATAATAACAAGATTAGATTAAAATCATCGCAAAATTATGATAATACTACTACCCAAAACACTAATATCCTTGAAAATAAAGTGTAACTATTTTTGTATTTTTGAATTTTATGTAAGGTAGATAAACTAAAAGTAACATGATAAAATATCAATAACCTAAATAAAAGAAAATATTTTTGTAATTTTTATTTTTGTGACAAAATAAAGTAAAATAGTTAAAACTAGGTAAAATAGCGATATTAGGCCTAAACTAAATATCTAAAAGCTAAAATAAGTAAAAACTCGGGGAGGATCAACAATTACATGTCTACATGACTTACAATAAGAATTATTGGTTCAGAGAAATACTATATTTCACTAGTAATTCTGTGAGTCAAACTTTATCGATCTAAGTTTGGGTCATAATACAAAAGACACAAAACCTATTACATTAAGACCATTCAAATCCAGCAAGTTTATTTCAAAATTCTTTGAAATAGTGGGGGATTGTGACTATATTTCAAAGCCAAAATGACAAATGTCTTAACCATTCTTGAAGCCTATGATAAGTGGCAAAAGAAGTGTAAAAAGTGGCAAATCTTCCATGTTCTTGCCATGCGAAATAAAGTTTTATGCAAATGAGGCTATAAATAGCCACTGTCAACTTCTCCTTTTCATCATTAGCAATTAGCAAGACAAAAGAAATACTTCTATCTTCTTTCCCTCTTATTCGTCCCTCTTCTTTCCTTCTAATTCTTTTTTTTTTTAATAATATTTAATTAGCATTACACATTAGTTGTTATTTCTCTTCCTACTAAATGAGTTTGTAATTTAATAATTTGCTGATTCATGTATCCTATAAATAAAACAGAGGTAAGCTTTAATCCCGGGGAAATATTTTACACTGTTGAAATAATTTCTTAGGATAGTGCCCAGTACAACTCAAGTCAATTCGTGTATCTGCTTACAAATAATATTATAGCAGTGTTATTATTATTTTTCTCGTATTATTTTCCTACAAAAAGTACACCCCAAAATCTAGGTATTGAGGTGCGCGGGAGCGTTCAAGGCTATATAAATCCCATATTAATATATTACAATACTGATGTGGACTCACGTCCCTTACCTTGCAGTAGACCATATTAAATTTGCACCGCATGATGCTCACAAAAGGAAAAAGCACCTCTAATAAGGGCAATGCCACTAAAATCTAACGAAAATTTTGGAGATACTCGTTCTGACAAATTGACAATCCTAGAAATTTCATTCTCAATAATCGAACTCAAGATATCTAATTCACAATTCTTGATGGTGACACTACTTGAAATGTTGAGCGTCCGCCACTGTGTTTGAATGGTTATACAGTTATAGTATTTTCTTTAAATTTATAACTGTTCTGCAACTGAAAGATCTATTCGAATATTTATAAATATAACAAAAACATGCGTTATTAAGTAGCTATAAATGATAAGAACTATCGAAGAAACATGCTGTGAGTCTGAAATGCGTTATTGAGTTAGAGTTGCCTCTGAGTGAGTCTCAAGATAAGTTCCAACTTTGCTTTTTAAAACTTTTTTTTGCTTATTATTAGCTTTGAAAACTGATTTACGCAAAAGTATTCAAGCTGTAATTAATCACGATTAAAGAAATTAGCAAAAAAAGAAAAAACTTACTAAATCCTGTACAATATATAATTCAAATCAAACAAGTTTTAGATTTGTTGTTTCCACTTGAGAATATTTTGTTTATTTTTCGATTATTTTGAATTCCATGTAACTTATATTAAAAGTCTGATTATTACTTAGATCTTTGTATTTATCTCAAGGCAATGTGGATATCGAACCATTTAAACCCTCGATTAGTAATTTCAGAATATAAATTGCTTCCATACAAACTTTTATGATCATAACTTATCTATATGGCATAGTGTTTTGACAAATCTTCTCTCTTCAAATCTCAACAGTACATTGGTAATAAATTGCTTTAATAATATTTCCTTCTAGGAAACTATTACTAACTAGTATATTGTTCATTCAAAATTGTTAGTGGAGTTGTTTAAAGTCGTATTACAGTTAGCGTTTAAGTTATATACACGTTTTTTTTTTTTTTTTACCAAATGTTGTTTTTACATGTTGACGTAGCAGGTAATATATCTTATGTTTAAAATTACAAATCCCACATTTGAAAAAAATGCTTATTTGTAAATATCCTTTGGTGACCTAGTATAGATTTTAGAAATGACATCAAGTAAATTTCTTCTACTTTTCGAGATGAATAGTGAAGACTAGTTATACAATCTATTCCATATTTTATTACAAGAACAAAAGTACATTAAACTTTTATTCCATGGCTTCTACTATTCTTTTCTTTCTCGTTTTTTTACCATTACTGTTGTGCTTATAATGCTGTACTACACCGAGGATCTATTGAAATTAAACATCTCTATTTTCACAAGATAGAGATAAGATCCGTGTACACGCTCATTATGTGAGATTATACTAGGTATGTTGTTGTAGTTATATGCTTGTGGTGTTGCTGACCTTATGCCATCCGCATTAACAGTATCCAAGTTGCTGGACGTGGTCGTTTCTAGAATTTGTCAATCGTTAGCATTTAGGATGATTTAGCAACATAAAAAAAGGGGTACATTTCTGATAATTACCACCTCATAAATGTTCAAGCAATTTTCACATGGTAACCTAAGAATTACTTGAGTAGAGAAAGTTCAGATGGCTAAATCTAAAGTTTGGTCCCTGCGGCTAGGAGACTAGTTTGATAGTGTTTTGTCTTAGTCTGCTGGGGACTTCAGTTGTGTCCATACTACGCTTCATTAGAGTTGTAGGTTAGATTGTAGGAGGCTAGTTTGATAGTGTTTGAATTTGTCGTTGGATGTTGTTAGTGGTTCTTATTGTGTCCATATTACTCTATTGTGTTTGTGGCACTGTGCCATTGCTACTGCTTATTGTTAATGCTTTTCTTTCTATTTTCTGGTTATTACATTGCTGATGTTATCTTTCTGACGTCCTTTGTTGTTACTGCTCCATTGTCTCTTTCCATCTTCTTGAGCTGAGGGTCTATCGAAAACAGATTCTCTATTCCTCTGGAGTACAGATAATGTTTGCGTACACACTACCCTCCCCAGACCCCACTTGTAAAATTTTACTGGGTTATTGTTGTTGGTCCCTTTTGCTTTTCTGCTTCCTCCTTGTTACATTAAAAGGTTTGTCATGACCATAGTCCATATATTGTTAGAGTTTAATTTTATTTTATTTTACAGCATTAGGTCATTTTTACTTGTTGTAGCAGCTTGTTCTTTTTTTTTTTTTAATATTACAATTTTTCACATTTTAAGGACTTACTTGTTGATATCATTTGAATATTCTGATAGTATTAAAAATTTCTTACACTGACAGATGTATATAAGTTAAGCCCTATTTTTCCCATACTATTCTCAATGTTATTAGTATTATTGCTATTAATTACTCATGTTACTTTTTATTTCACATACAAGAAGTAGAATAGAAAGTGTAAACCGAAAAATTACAGTTTTAACGAACACCCTGAAGGGGCATACTTTATTATGATTAAAAATACAACTTAATTGAAGAATTGTGGAACATGTGTTGTACGTATATCCCCTTTCATTATAGGTATATATATGTTGAATAATAAGATTCACCTTCTAGGGATGTCGGGTTTATAAACCAGTTCCTACTAGTCTACTACTATATGTATTATGTGTTACTACAAAACAAAAAATGAAGTAGATGAAGGAGAACGTATGATGTCTTACCTTCTTATTTCTTACATTATTGTTGAACGTGCTCAAATTTGTATTTAATGACATACTGTATTTAGCAAACGGATATGTTTCCAAATTGTTCCTAACGTGAGAGATACATTGTTTGAGCTACTTCTGTGTTGGGGCGAGAAATCCTCCACGTGTATGGGTGGCAAATGAACGAGTTGGGCTGAATTTGGGCGGGTTAAAATGGGTTAGGTCAATAAACGGGTCATTGCCCAACCCAGCCCAAAGTATACTTGGACTAAGATGGGCTGGGTCAAGATGGACTAAACAATGGGTCATAACCCAACTCGCCCAACTTGACCCATGTTTTAGAATCATGCTCATCTTGCATAAAAAAAATATTTTACCTTACATGTGTAAGTTGAAAAATATTTTGCGGTTGGGGTGAGTAGGTGGTGCACAAAAACGAAAAAACAGAAAACAGAAAATTAAAAATATAAAAAAAAGTTAAAATTTTTGTTAGGGAGTTTGCCCGGAGGGGGATATAGGGTGTAGGGTGGTGCAGAAAAAAAATTAAAAAAACAATTTTTTTTAGGGGTTTGCGCCGGGGGGGGGAGGATGTGGTGCAGAAAAATNGTGGGTGGATGATGCAGAAAAACAAAAGAACAAAAAATGAAAATATATAAAATAAAATAAAAAAAGGAATATTGGGGCAACTAAGTAAATTTCTAGATAAGGGGTTGTGATCCCTTTGTTGTGGGTGAGTTTCATGAGTTGTATTTGGGCTGCTTAATGGGTCAGAATGAGCTATAAAAAATAATGTGTTAACTTGGGCTCAGATCAAATTGACCCATGAGCTAAAATGTTTGTAGCCCAACCCATTAATTTTTGGGCGAATTGGGCGGGTTTAGGCTTAAATTACCACCCCATATCCACGTGCATCAAGATAGTTACACTTTGTTCTAAGTATGACAATATATAAAGTTCCAAAAATAAACAATTCTTCGTTATTCTGAATTTGGTTTTCGTATTATGGATGTTGGG